AGCTGAAGTGGTGGTGCTTGTGCATCACTATCCTCATCATTATCATCGCCCTCGCCATCGGTCTTGGCGTCGCCGCCTCTAATGGTGCCTTCAACAACGCTGGCAAAAAGTCATCTTAGCGGTAGCACAGGGTTGGGCAGCAAATGGGCGGACAGTCCGGAGGCTTCCCGGGTGAAGTCACTAATACGAGCTGGCCGGAGCCTGGGGGCGAGGGAAGACAATTAGACGCTTCCATCGTACCCCCGGGTACGGCAAAATCTTACACAACTTAATACTCCGGCTCTCTGTATGAGCCCGCGCGGCCTCGGTGGCGCCAGTCGAGGTGGCGCGGAGGCGATGGAAAAGTCCTGTAAACATGATTCTTTTGTACGCATAGTTCACGCGTGTTCCCTTGGGTCGAGAAGGGACCCGGGCCCGGAAGACAGGAGACGGGGAAAAAGGGTTGGATCTCTCTCTCGTCCGGGCCAGACCAGGTCAATGGTACGCAAGACAGATATAATTGAGGTAGCTACATATACTGCAGGCTTCTTTTTCTCTCTTCAGCCGGTCGGCTTCCTGCGCGACTTGGGCCTACCCGCGGTGTCCGGGCGTTCGACTAAAGCTGCTGCCGGCGTCGTCGTCGCTGCTATCGCCATCGCTTCGAAGTATTGCCCGTCGCCCAGGCTAGACGCCATTATCTCCACAAGCCGAAATGGTAGAGAGGCGCAAATACATACTGAGGTACCTACCAACCTAGCCAAGATCCGAGGTATATCGCCGTCAGCACGATAATATATCCCTTCAAGCATCTCCCTCCCCAGAGAGCCTGCTGCAAGAGTGCGCCTCTCGATAAACGAGGCGTCGAACCACCCACCATCACCTCCTCCTCCTCCTCCTCCTCCTCCTCTGCGCATCGAAACATTCCACCCGCTACATCCGCCACTAGTGATGGGCGCAGGGGAGGTCGATGCCCGTGTCGATGGAGACGGTCATGTTGTGGGCGCCGAGGGCCTTGGCGAAGTAGGCGAGCTCCTGGCCGTCGTTGGTGACGTTGGAGCCGCTCAGCTGCAGGGGGAGGACGCCGGCCTGGTCCCCGCTGCCGCAGTAGGGCGGCTGCTTCAGGGCCTTGAGGACGGCGAGGGTCTCGATGTCGGCCTCGAGGGCGAAGGCGTTATTGCTGCTGCTGTCGTTCCCGGTCCCGGGCGACAGGGTCACGTCGTAGACGACGGAGCTGCCGACGGCGCTGCCGTTGAGGTAGTTGGCGAAGGTGATGTTGCCCTGTGTGGAGTGGTGGTGGGGTGGGATTGGTGGAAAGGAAGGTCACTCAGTCAGTCACTCAGTCAAACTCACAGAACTTGGGAGAGGAGAGGAGAGGAGACTTCTTTTCTTACCACGTCGAGTGTCAGGACGGACGGATTGGGTATGTGCACCGTGCCCTTGAAGTTGTTCTTGCTGGTCAGGCTCAGGTGCGGGTCCGAGACGGACAGGCCGGCGAAGCCGTCCAGCCCCGCGAGCGAGACCGTCTTGTTGAAGGTGACGGCGTAGGCGCGGTCGATGCCGGGCACGTGGACGTGCGTGTAGCCCACGATCCGGACGTCGACCGACTTCTCCTGCAGCAGGGTCGCGGTGAACTCGGTGAAGGAGCTGAGTCCGCTGCTCGACGCAGCACCATCACCACTACCATCACTCGAGGAGGAGGAGAGGGAGATCTCGTGGCTGACGTTGACGGTCTGCGCGCCGCCGCCCGACGTGACGGCGGGGAAGCGCATCTGCGTGAAGGCGACGGGCGGGTCGGCGACGAGGTACAGCGTCCCGTTGAAGGCGTCGACGTGCGCGCGTACCCCGTGGGGCGACCGGATCGTCGCGTTGATCGCCATGGTGAAGGAGGCGGCCCGCGTGTCGACCACGGCCACGCCGTCGACCGTCAGCGAGGCCGCGTCGACGCGCTTCTGCGCCAGCCTGGGCACCGCGACGAGGATCCTGCAAGGAAGAGGAAAGGAAGGAAAGGAAGCCCCCGCCCGTCAGTCAGTAAGAGGCCCTGGGTAGGTATGCTGGGAGGTAGGTTGGTAGGTAGGGGCTCAGAAAGAAACTCACACGCTAGGGACGATTATGACCGTCGCGATAGCCAGGAAGGCCAGCAGGTACGCCCACCAGAATCGTTTGGCATGTCCTCTCTTAGATGGTGTCCTCGCAGCCTCACTCGTCGTGGCCGAGGGCATCTGCCTCTCCTTGCTTGTCTCCGACATGGTCTTCCGAGGGTTGCAGTTCCGCCGAGGGCTGCAGTTCCGGAATAGTGTTTGGGAGAGGATGAAGTTCGTGTTCAACGCTCCTCAGCCAAGGAAGGAGGTAGCAAGTCAGTGCTGGGCCTGCCGGAATCGTCAGTCGCGGAGTTTTGGGCGAACACCGGCAAAGGGCAAAATCTACCACCTAGTAAATTACCTTCCATATTGGCCTGAGCAGCGCTGCCGGAGCGGCTCATATAAGAGAAGCAACTTCACGAAGTCTGGAAACACAAAAATGCACCTACGCAAACCGAACTATCAGACGTCCTCGATTATGCCATCTTGGCGCGAAACCGAAAGCGAGCAAGGTTCGCTCGCCATCTACGTTGACCAACAGGCGCTCAAGCCTCCTCCGCCCAGTGCTACCACATAGATCACGTTTGGCCTGGGAGGCGATGGCTCCCCCGCACGAAGGCGGAAGGGGGTTCCAGTCCATCGGTCTCGTCATTAGCAACCTTTGAGACGTTATACGTTACTTACTGTAGGATAAGCTATCAATACCTTTGGCTTAACTCATGAGAGGGCTCGACAGTCTTTCACTTATATTATCGGTACAGGTATGCAACTTAGTTACCGGGCTCAAAATCAACCCGATATCCTCCTCGTCCGTCAATTCGTCTACTCATCGTTCTGCTCCCAAGCTGTAATGAAGCCGCGCCTCCATTGGGCCGTATCGAAAGTCAATCAATCCCCAAGGGGGAGCCCGACGTAGCACGGCCCCACAGTCCCAAGGCCGGCCGGCCCCGGATCTCTCGTTGCAGGTGCCCGGGGGCGGGCGGCGGCGTTGCAGTAAACCTCGGGATTATCATGCAAGCTCGAAAGGGGAATGAATCAGCTGACAGGCAGGGGGGAGCTCTGACTCCCTCGGCTCGCGGGGGCGGGCACGTGCAAGACCGCCGGCGAGTAACTACGTGACATTTGCTGATAATCACGACATATCCTGCGTTGGCTGTATGATGGTTGGATGTATTGGATTGATATGGCTCAGCAGAGGGTGATCGAAAATGTTTCACATATCATTCATCTCTGACGCCCACGATTCGATTGGCACTACTTCAAGCGATAGCTTGTCACGTGGGGGGGCAGTTGAGATAGAAATAGAACTGCCAGTGCCGTGATCGGTCGAATAAGGGTTTGTGTGGGAGTATTGAGGTAACAAGGAAAAGAAAAAAAGAAAAAAAGGGTCGGCCTTGTACTGGAAGAGCAGGGGTTTACATATGGAGGTCGAGAAGTATAGTCCAGACCCTGTTTCTCACGGCACCTCCCGACTGCACCTGCAGCGCACTACTGCCCGCTTTGCATAATCCATAGATGCCTAAGTTAGGGATCAGCTAAACGGCCCTGGCTTAGGAGAGCAATCCAGACCACAAACGGGTAGCTTAGCTATTGCTCTTGACTGTTTAAGCCTCCTGGAACTAAAGAGAACTACACTTGGTAAGTCTTGACTAAACTTGAGTGATTGGCCTAGACTCTTCAAGGCTGACGCAGGCCCCCCAGCAAGTCCAACTACATTAAGTTATAACATAGGCGATAATGACAGTAATGGTCTGAGGTTTGTTGCTCTAATGTTGATGTCCGTCTTGGGGCGTACTCACCTTCCAGGAACCGGCCTCGTCTTATTGTATAACAAAGTCATGAGTAACTTACCTGGTTTCACATGACGCGTCAACTTGGGCAAAGTCACTTGGAGGCTTGAGTAAGGGTTCCGGTAACCGACTACTAGTCCACTGAATTTGACTTGACGTGTGGAAGAAGTCTTTCCCGATGGCTTTCCATAAACCTGAGACTTCACTTAGTGTAGTCTTACATTACCCCTCTATCATGGCTGGTGTACTGTATAGCAACTAGAACCAGATTTATCTCAATAGACTTCAATCTTGAGCTTTTTCAAGAAATCACCAGGCTGACTAATTTCACCGCAGACTGAGCTCTTGCCTCTTTCGATGAGTTGGTAGCTTAATCAGTTGTCCCAGGAGCAGAAAAGAAGAAGTCAAGACGCAGCTCTTAGTTACCCGGCACATCAGACAATACGCAGTCAGAGTGTGGTAATGTTTGACAGTGGGGCTTGATAGCTGACTTTGAAATCACAACTCCTTTCAACGGCTCGGTTCATAGATATGTTCTGAGCTCATCGACAGGTGGGTAACGGGTATACACTCAAAGACCGTTGCCATTACCTACTACGAGCAAGGTCCAAGACCAACACTTTTCCCTGGGAGGGGCCAGAGACAGAATCTGGTTACTGAACGACGAAGAGAATCACCTACTTGTTCCAAAGGTGTTCGGATCGCGTCTCCAGTGGTGCGTCATTTGTCGTACGTACACCACACTTCTGTCGTCTACACGCGGCTACTCTGATTGCAATGGAACAATCTCAGCATGACTTCTCGTGTTTAAGTGACCACACAGTCAGCCGAGCTTGCTCAGAACCAGAAGCGTAGGCGCCTCCATCGCGACAGGACAAGGCAACTGTTCTATCACGATGTTCGTCCTGACTGGGAGGTATGTTACCGGTACCTTGCTTTATGACGGAAGTCCGTTCGCAATCTTGGACGATGGGAGGAAGACCTCGACCCAGCTTGGGACCTACTGCAGTAACGGCAAGGACAGCATAATTAGACCCACTGGGGCTTGGCGGTAGGAGAGCTTTCAAAAAAAAAAAGAGCACCAAAGCAAAGTGGCAACCGGTGACACTCCCTGCGACTGGAGTCCGTGGAGCCAAAAACAAATAACAGTGAACTCCGAATCGGGGAATCGAACCCCGGGCTTGACGGATCTTTCTCACGAAGGAGTTGAGAGCGTCAAATGTTAGCCACTACACCAATTCGGATGTTGATGAATGAAATCTTTTACAATTCTGTCTTGTGTATGTGAGAGGTAGGTACCCGGCCGGGGTGAACCACGAGGGGAGCGGGTCAAGCTTGGCCTTCGGTCCGATGTTGACCTCTAGTTCGGATCCGATCTACGAGACGGACGGATGGTCGGCGGGAACAGTCCTGCTTCCCGCTTTTGTACTTCTCTTCGCGAAAGGCCTCAAGCGCTTGTTCATTTGCTGGCTCTTGTCGACCGCTTCCCAGCAATTGTACCAGAGCCTGTACCTAGAACTCCCCGCGCTCATGAACGCATCTGGTGAAGCCGAGCAAAAGCAGGTAAAAGCCGGGGCTTCTGACATCTGTGCTGCTCCACATAGCTCGTAGGTACCTAGGTAGGCACCTTAGAAATAGGACGACGTAGATACTTGCCGAGTATAAATCCGCTGGAAAAAGTGCAAAAGGATAAGAATTAGACATGATGCATCAGCCGCGAATCGAACGCGGGGCCCATCGATGGCAACGATGGATTTTACCACTAAACCACTGATGCTGTGGCTAACTCGGCTGGTATTACAGACTATATATGACGGGCTCCACAAATGGATGGCGAAGTGTTTTCGAAGTGTTTTCAAATGACTTGGTTACAGACATGTGTACATCGCAATACGCAATGACGATATACCAGGTGAGGCGCTGAGATGCAGCCGTTGCTCTACCTAACTATGGCAAAGTCCACCGTCTAACCTGCAAAAGTACCTACCTAAGGTTGTGTTCGGTAGAATTTCATGAAGTGGCCACTCACTTCTCGGGCATTAGCTTGCATACTATTTCTGGTTATCCAATGGACACTCACTCGACTTCTTCCTCGTGCTGGACACAGTTCTCGAGGAGACTCCCAGCTCGTATTAGTGGGAGGCTACAAGACTGGCAAGTTTTGTCAACTGTCCATACTGATGCATCTCATGGCTGTCAACGGGTACCGGAGCAGCAAGAGACAGGGTTGTCAAAGCTGAAAGTATGGAGAACTGAATGAAGTGAGGATGCATGATGCTCCGAGACCATAGAGGATGAAAGAGCTGGCTACACCGAAATCAAGGGCAATTAGACAACTAGGATGAGCCTGATGAATAGGGGCCAAGTGTTGAAGTAAGCTGCGCAGTTATGGCCGGGGCACGGCGCCCGCGCCGGCACGATCGAAAAGAAAAGAAAAAGTATCGAGAGTCACAGAAAACCGAAAAGAACCCCTCTTTCTCTCGTTTACTCTCCACCACGCTACTCATGCTTCTTCATCCGCCAAATGATGATCACTCCCACTCTCCCGGGAACTTCTATCTCAACCACATATCCACTGTAATCGCCCACATCATCTAAATGCCACCGAAGTGAGGAGCATCTCAGAGATCTCTTCCCTCCCACTAACTATCAAGCCTTTGAGAGCTTGAGGAGCATCATCCTAATAGCCCGCCACATCAGCCGTTTAGTTACCCAGCAACGCAGACCAGGCCTCCCCGGACGTGTGGGATAGCTTAGATCATAGGTAGGGGCAACGAACTTGGCCCGGGCCATCTTCGAGCAGTGGCAGTTGGGAGCCGGTATGACGCCGGCGACGAGCAGCCTCTGCATGGCGTCGTCGTCCCTCACGGTGTCGGCGCGGTTGCCGACGGCCCGGGCGCAGTTCCTGCAGATGCGGGAGCGGTGCTGCAGCGCGTTGGCCATGGTGAGGCTGTCGGTCGCGCCGAAGTGGTCCTGGAACCAGTTGATCACCTCTTGGATGGCTTCGGTGCCGGGGTGCATCAGGAGATGCTCGTTCAAGGGCAGCATGTGGGCCTCGGGCATCACGGCGACTTTCGGCTGATGGAGCTGGAGTGCTCGACCTTAGGTATGCAGAGTCTTGACCCTGATTGGGTATCTATAGTGAGATGTGTGAGCGGGTGTGGCGAGGCGAGTCTACCTCGACAGACCTCTCTGTGGAGCGTGTCAGGCTTATATAGAGGATCTGGTCTAGGTGAAGCTGCTCTCAGGCAGCTTGTTATCCCTCGGCGGATATTGCCAAAGCATCAGACTGAGCGTACCCCATCACATAGCTACACAATACAAATCCACGAGAGGGTACTGAGACGGCGTCCATCCGGGCGCTTCAAGATTACAATAATAATAATGAGACGGCGTTCACGATGATTAGTGGCCTGTATGCCAATACACATGCGGCTTACACTCAACACCATCGGCAGGCTGGCGGCTATTGATGCTTGGGTCATGGTTGAGCCTACCTGACTAGGTAATGTATTCCAGGTGCAAGTGCACTGCAATTTCGGTCGACTCAGTGGCTGCAGAAATTATCAGGCGTGGCCAATGTTAAGCAAGAGCAAGCGCTTATGTGACCCTCGACATGCCAGTAGGCATTGAGCGGTTGCTGCGGCTGGCTATCGACCTGGATGCGAATCTCCAACTCGGCTACGCCAATGATCTTGCTTTGGTCTGTGTCGGTGCCTTTCACCCAGTGCAGATTCTCGTGGGATCCCCAGCCCTTCACCATCCTGTTATTTGCCGCTTCAACGGCATAATCGACGGTGGGTACCGAGATGGACTGGGATGAACCAAAGCCGCAATGCGTTATGAGGCTGTCCAAATGCGGCATATAGCACGGGCAAGATCTGGTCGAAATCGCCCTCGTCCTTCACTATTTCGAGTACTAAGGGCATGATAACACAAGAAGAAAGACCAGTTGAGAGTACGGGAGCTGCAAAGCGGTGTTGCTCAGAGCAGTGTCCAGTGGGAAGCAAGGTTTTCAAGGTGATGGGATCCTCAAGTACAAGCCGCCATATGAATGGGAATTCCGGGCTGCCATCCGGCAATATCGTATACCTACTGTTAGGTTGTGAATGGCACGTTGGCATCACCTTGTTGCGGGATTTATTCGCATCAATGAATGTACGTTGGTCGGTCGAGAGTCTCGCAGCCAACTTCCCAATGGCGGGCCTTTCATCAGTACTTAAGTTATGGCTGTAGCCTCACAATTTTCCAGTCTAACATAATGGGACTTTTATGGATTATCATCGCATTGTTCTTCAGCTTCTGGCCAGACAGCGCCAGCAGCACCCCCGCAACAATGAAATCCAGCATCCTGATGACAGGTTCCTGGATCGTGTTTGGCGTTATGTATTACCTTGCCTATGGGCGAAAGGTAGTTATTCCTCTCCTCTCCCGTTTTGAGCTTACAGAAACCTTCCAGCATTATAGGAACCCTCTTGTTGAAACGAAATATGAAAAGCACCATCGCCGTCGAGGCGGCGCCAGTGCTTATCTACTCAACTACATTCCGGGGCCCGGAGCCGTAAAGGGGTTCGCGGCCCTCGAAGGCGGCGTTCGCGGCGGGCCAAAAGCACAGCGTCGAGTTCCCATTCCCCTGCTAGATACCTATTCACCGCGCCGGATATCCACGTGGCTTAGGTAAGTAAGTACCTCCAGGCACCTGGACTGTGAGATCTAGGGTGGTGGTGCCTAGGTCTCGTACGTGCCTTGATATTCTGCCCGCTGCTGCGTTGGCTGGAGTCCGGGCCGAGCTTGATCTGATCTCGGAGAGAATGACGAGAGAAAAGGGGGAATGGGTCGGGGGTTAACTTATTGAGCATGATACGGTAGATAATGCCAGCTGCTGCAGACGCCGGAGACGAGCCAGCCAGCCCCCCACCTAGGTTCTACCTACATAGACGGAGCGCGCCTTGATTGAAGTTCCGCATATTGGCTCTTGTCTGGTGTTGAGAAGAATCAATTCAGGGAGTGCTGGAGATAGAGTGGCCGACCAAGTGGATAGGGGTACGGCAGCATCCCACTGAACGGCCTGTGGTCAGACTAACAACGACATCGACGTAGAGCTGCCTGGGGCTTCTTCCCCCGGGTCCGAGGTTGGGATGGACTGCGGATACATGACCCCATGGCCGCCTCCTCATCGAACACACGTATACACATCTACGGTACTTATTTGCCTACCTAAGAAGCTAAGCTACGGTATGCCCATGCTCGGTACAGCGAGGGGAAAGCCGGGTCGGAGAGAGAGTCGTCGCCAAGGAGCGCGCCAGGTCGCAAGACCGATTCGCGAAATCACTTGGCGGGATCCCGGCTCCATGGCCGAGACTCGTGTGTGCGAACGGGAGAATAAGTAGGTACAGTCCCGGTGTGGTAGTTCGATGGTAAGGCACTCTCGCCCTGCCGGCCTCGAATGTACGACGGTAGAGAGAAGCGAAGCATCTGTGGTCGTCTCGATGCTACCGCGCCAGCTTGGCTAACTGCGCCCACTCGTCAATTGTCGCCACGCGAGCGATACATACACGCACATCCACATATATATACACACATATATATACAGAAAGGGAAAGAGGGGACGGAAGCGTAATTCCTCCGACGAGATCGCTTTGCCGTCGCAGGGGATCGTCGACGGCGCAGCTGTATGTAGGTACGGTACCCCGCAGAGCCGAGACGAGGAAAACACCCCATTGGCAGGGCAGATTGGTAGATTAGTGGGAAAGGAGGCACAAAAAACGAAGTCGATGAGCGCTCCATGCGTGAGGAGAAAGCCGACGTGTGATGTGGTACCGCCCACGCGTGCGGGGTCAGGGGAGGGGAAAACGAGATGGACGAGGGGAGAGGAGACCAGAAGAGAGGAGAGGGGATAGCAGAGGGGACAGCGAAGGAGAGAGTCGGTCGGTCAAGGGCGATTCAATGAATGAGTGATTGAAGTGAGTGAGTTCCCATTAACCGAAGGTTGCGGTCTGCCTGACGGACCGTCTTCAACGGCAGTCGAGAGACAGACAGGCCGGTGAGGCTGGAAAAACAGGCAAGCGAGATGATGCGGTCTGCCGTGTGCGACTGTAGATTGGGAGACGGTATCTATTTGACGGCGGCCGGTCTGGGAGTTCATTATTTGAGTTGCCCTTCATTAATAGACGCGAGGAAGGAAAAAGAGGATGAGGAAGAGGAAGCAAAGAAAAAGAGCTCCTTTTGTCCGTCCGAGAACCAT